TTGATGGCTAGTAACAGTGATGCCCCTCCTTCCGCGCCGGCCAAGGGTAAAGGCAAGGCGCGCGGCAAGGCGGTGGCCCCCGAGACGGCCGCCGCTGAAAAGAAAAAGGGGGGGAACCAGCCTAAGGAACCCTTCCCCGTCATCCCTGGCTACAAATGGGTCAGGGGTGACGTCGGGGAATTTCAAAGCATCTTCAAGTCGTTCATGGAGATTAATGCGATGTGGAAATCACATAGGATCTGTGAACCATCCATTTCTAAGCTTATCCGGCTTGAACCTTGTCAGCCCGGTGAGCGTGTATATATGGGGGGTACCCCTGACCCTCCCTTCTTTTACATGTACTAGTGTTTCTTCAGGGATTTAGGCGTATGCCTTCCCTTTACCCAATTTGATTGTGATTTTTTAAATTTTGTCAACTCGGCTCCTTGCCAGTTGCACCCTAATAGTTGGGGTTTTTTTTAGGGCTTTCCAGGTCATGTGCTCGACCCTAGGGATAGGGGTATCTCTCCTTGTTTTTCTTCATTTCTACCAACTGAAACTGGGTGTACCTCCCTATGGTTGGGTTTCTTTGAACGGTAGTAAGGATGGAGGATTATTTTCTCTCTACTCCCAGTCTTACAAAAATTTCAAACAAGAGTTTTTCCGGGTTTTGCTCGTGGAGGTCGACCCGCTGAAAGATGAGGTGTTCCACTTTGGCGGGTTACCGAGGTTCCCTCTTTACTGGCGGTAGGCTCCGGCCAGGTTTAATGGGTCGGCCAACCTGCAATTGACGGCCTCGGTCGTTGCTGCCATTAAAGACCTAGAAGCATTTCCTCGTCCCTTGGATTGTAAGCTCGTCTTGTCGCTTGCTAACTCGGCGTACAAGGAAATGGGTCTAGAGAGTGAGTACCCTGTCCTCATTAGTTGTCAGGGTTTGTAAAATTTTCTTTTATTGACGCATCTGATTCTTGTATTTGCAGGCATAATGGGCGGCTCCTTGCCAGTTGCACCCTAATAGTTGGGGTTTTTTTTAGGGCTTTCCAGGTCATGTGCTCGACCCTAGGGATAGGGGTATCTCTCCTTGTTTTTCTTCATTTCTACCAACTGAAACTGGGTGTACCTCCCTATGGTTGGGTTTCTTTGAACGGTAGTAAGGATGGAGGATTATTTTCTCTCTACTCCCAGTCTTACAAAAATTTCAAACAAGAGTTTTTCCGGGTTTTGCTCGTGGAGGTCGACCCGCTGAAAGATGAGGTGTTCCACTTTGGCGGGTTACCGAGGTTCCCTCTTTACTGGCGGTAGGCTCCGGCCAGGTTTAATGGGTCGGCCAACCTGCAATTGACGGCCTCGGTCGTTGCTGCCATTAAAGACCTAGAAGCATTTCCTCGTCCCTTGGATTGTAAGCTCGTCTTGTCGCTTGCTAACTCGGCGTACAAGGAAATGGGTCTAGAGAGTGAGTACCCTGTCCTCATTAGTTGTCAGGGTTTGTAAAATTTTCTTTTATTGACGCATCTGATTCTTGTATTTGCAGGCATAATGGGCAAAAGCAAGTGGCACGAGCTGACCTCCGCTTCTCACGATGTCGAGGAGGCGACCTCCCGGTCTGTGGACGCTGTGGATCTCACCGATAGCCCTCCGGCCAAGGAGGCCTCGCCAGTGGCTACGACGG